AGGAGGGAATCGTGGAAACCCTGATTTATAAAAGTCAGTTGGTCAGAAGCACAATTAAAGTAACCAGGGCTTGTGACTGGCATCGAGAGTTCGGGGGACATGCTTGTGGAACTGAGCCCCCAGCCTGTGGGGTTTGACACCCTGTCTGGGTGGATAGTGTTGGAAATAAACTGAATTAGAGGATATCCAGTGTATATCCACTGTAGACTCGATGGATTGATTGTTGTTGGTGAGAAATCCCTACACGTTTGGCCACAGAAATCTTAGCTGTTGATTGATTGCATATTGTGACAGCAGAGGAGAAACCATTTGTTTTTTTTCCTCACAGACTCCAGCTGAAGAGGCCTGGAGTAAACCAGCTTCAGATGGGACTCTATCCAGAAGCCTAAATTATGTCACCACTTTTTTTTTTTTTTTTTTTGTAGAGACAGGGTCTTAAACTCCCGGCCTCAAGAGATCCTCTTGTCTCAGCCTCCTGAAAGCTGGGACTGCAGGAGCTCACCTCCACACCTGGGTACTTTTTATTTTTGGTAGAAATAGAGCCTTGCTGTGGTGACCAGACTGGTCTCAAACTCCTGGGCTCAAGCAGTCCTCTGTCCTCCGCCTCCCAAGGTGTCGGGATTACAGGCACGAGCCACTGTGACCCGCCTGTTTATTGGTTTTGTTAAATGCCTCGAGAGGTGTTAAAAAGCCCATCATGGAAAGAAGATAGCCCCAGAGGAGGGGTTCCAAATTCTTCATGTAAAAGTCTTCCCCAAACGCTCAAATGTCCATCAACAGATGAATGGATTAAAAAACTGAGATCTTGCCGGGCGCGGTGGCTCAAGCCTGTAATCCCAGCACTTTGGGAGGCCGAGGCGGGTGGATCACGAGGTCAAGAGATCGAGACCATCCTGGTCAACATGGTGAAACCCCGTCTCTACTAAAAATACAAAACATTAGCTGGGCATGGTGGCGTGTGCCTGTAATCCCAGCTACTCAGGAGATTGAGGCAGGAGAATTGCCTGAGCCCAGGAGGCGGAGGTTGCAGTGAGCCGAGATCGCGCCATTGCACTCCAGCCTGGGTAACAAGAGTGAAACTCTGTCTCAAAAAAAAAACAAAACAAAAAAACTGAGATCTATCCATACAATGGAATGTTATTTAACCATAAAAAGGAATGAAGTAGGCCAGGCACGGTGGCTCACACCTGTAATCCCAGCACTTTGTGAGGCTGAGGTGGGCAGATCACGAGGTCAGGAGCTTGAGACCAGTGTAACCAACATGGAGAAACCCGTCTCTACTAAAAATACAAAAATTAGCTGGGCATGTTGGTGTGTGCCTGTAATCCCAGCCACTCGGGAGGCTGGGGCAGGAGGATCGACTGAGCTGAGGAAGTCAAGGTTGCAGTGAGCTGTGATTGTACCACTTCTCTCCAGCCTGGGCAATAGGGGTGAGACCTTGTCTCAGATAGATAGATACACAGAAACATAGTTAGATACATTGATAGGGTATTGTATGCCATTCAAATTATTTCCATTAAGCTGTTTTTGTTGTTTTCTTTGAGACAGAGTCTCACTCTGTCACCCAGACTGGAGTACAGTGATGCGATCTTGGCTCACTTCAACCTCCACCTCCAGGATTCAAGCGATTCTCATGCCTCAGCCCGCCAAGTAGCTGGGATTACAGGTGTGCACCACCACGCCCGCTAATCTTTGTATTTTTTAAATAGAGACAGTGTTTCACAATGTGGGCCAGGCTGGTCTCAAACTCTTGGCTTCAAGTGATTCACCCTCCCAAAGTGCTGGGATTATAGATGTGAGCCACTGCACCCTGCCCATTAAGCTGTTGTTTTAAAAAGTCTGCCTAAACCTCTGAACTAGACAAACATGGGGCACATTCCAAGCAACTTAGTTAAGTTTAAAAGATCAGTACAGATTTCAGCTGCCTCAAGGAAACTAGATTTGGAGTTTGAGTTCAGCTGTGATTAACTGCTTGCTAACAAAACACCAAACTCTCAAGAACATAACAGAATCCAAAGCCTATAACATATCATCCAAAATGTCCATGATACAATCCAAAATTATGAGACACAAAAAACGGGCCAGGTGTGGTGACTCAGGCCTGTAATCCCAGCACAGCACTTTGAGAGGCAGAGGCGGGTGGATCACTTGAGAAAGGAGTTTGAGACCAGCCTGGCCAATGTAGCAAAACCCTGTCTCTACTAAAAATACAAAAAAAAATAGCCAAGCTTGGTAGTACATAGGAGGCACAGCAGGCTGAGGCACAACAATTATGTGAACCCAGGCAGCAGAGGTTGCAGTGAGCTGAGATGGCACTACTACTCCAGTCTGGGCAACGAGAGCAAGACTCTGTCTCAAAAAAAAAAGAAAAAAAAAAAAAAAGGGAAGAAAAAGACATTTTTAAAATACATTTTTTTAAAAAACAGGAAAATATGACTTGTATTCACAAAAAAAGGCAATAAACGAAGATCAACCCCAAGAGGATCCAGGTGTTAGTACCAACTGACAAGAATTCTAAAGGAGAATCAAAAGAATTAGTTAAAATAAAGAAAAAAAAATGGCCAGGCACGGTGGCTCATGCCTATAATCCCAGCACTTTGGGAGGCCGAGGTGGGTGGATCACGAGGTCAAGAGATCGAGACCATCCTGATCAACATGGTGAAACCCCATCTCTACTAAAAATACAAAAATTAGCTGGGCATGGTGGCGCACCACTGTAGTCCCAGCTACTCGGGAGGCTGAGGCAGGAGAATTGCTTGAACCCAGGAGACAGAGGTTGCGGTGAGCCGAGATCATGCCATTGCACTCCAGCCTGGGTAACAAAAGCAAAACTCCGTCTCAAAAAAAAATAAATAAAGCAGTTATTAAAACTTTGTCAGGCCCTGTGGTGGCTCACACCTGTAATCCCAGCAATTTAGGAGGCTGAATTGGGAGGATCGCTTGAGCCTAGGAGTTCAAGACCAACCTGGACAACATAGTGAGACCTCATCTCTACAAAAAGTTTAAAAATTAGCTGGAGGCCAGGCACGGTGGCTCATGCCTGTAAACCCAGCACTTTGGGAAGTCAAGGCAGGCAGATCACTTGAGGTCAGGAGTTGAGAGACCAGCCTAGCCAACATGGTGAAGCCCCATCTCTACTAAAAATACAAAAATTAGCTGGGGGTGGTAGCTGGCACCTGTAATTACAGCTACTCGGGATGCTGAGGCAGGAGAATTGCTGCACGTGGGAGGTGGAGATTGCAGTGAGCCGAGATCACGCCACTGCACTCTAGCCTGGGTAACAGAGCAAGACTCTGTCTCAACAATAAAAAATAAAAATTAGGTTGGCCTGGTGGCATGTGCCTATAGTCCCAGCTACTCGGGATGCTGAACTGGAAGAATTACTTGAGTCTGGGAGGTCGAGGCTAGAGTGAGCCGTGATTGCACCTCTGCTCTCCAGGAGACAGAAACAAGACTGTCTCTAAAAAATAATAAAAGAATAATACCCCTAAACTGAATATTACCAAAGTGCCATCAAAAGAGAACTGGCTAAACTAGTGTGTTGTTCATATGATAGTGTGCTCCTCAGCAATGAAAAGGAAAAAAACAGCTGGGTGCAGTGGTTCAGGCCTAGCACTGGGAGGCTGAGGCGGGCGGATCATGAGCTCAGGAGTTCGAGACCAGCCAGGCCAACATAGTGAAACCCCACCTCTACTAAGAATACAAAAATTAGCTGGGCATGGTGGTAGGTGCCTGTAATCCCAACTACTTGGGGCTGAGGCAGGATAATCGCTTGAACCTGGGAGGCGGAGGTTGCAGTGAGCCAAGATCGTGCCATTGCACTCCAGCCTCAGCGACAGAGCGAGACTTTGTCTCAAAAAAAAAAGAAAGGAACAAACTACTTGTGGGTAACCCCCCATGTAGGTACCGAAGAATTAGAGCTAAGCAGAACCCTGGCACAGTTAGGGCTTGAGGAATATCTCACTTTATAGTGTTACTACTCAGCAATTTCCTTTTATGTAATCCTTTATACAATTATATACTGCATTAGTTTCTAGAATTAGGGCTTGAAGAATCCCTTTATATAATCCTCTATGTATAATCATATAATAGTTGATAGTATTAGTGCCTAAAGAATATTTCCCTACATATATATATATAATTATATCTTAGTTCATAATTGGAGGAATGCCTAGAGTAGACACAGTACAGAGCATGAATTAAGGAATAAGCAGCGTCTAATCGGAGGAATGTCTAGAGCAGACACAGTGCAGAGCATGACTTAAGGGAAAAACAGTTATACCTGGACAAGAATCCATGGCCCAGGCGGCAGCGTTCAGTATCATAAAGATACCCGCTGTATGGCAGTCTTGGGACAAGAGCCACTCCTCCTGATAAAGGAGTTGTAGGACCTTGCTCCAGTTATTGTGGAGGGCTGCCCTCAGACCGGCAATCCACCTTGGTAAATGTGAACTTTATCAGCTCTTGCTGCTATGCTACTCGAAAAGCATCTTCCCATAGAACTCATTGGAAGCTGCCAGAAGGTGGCGGTAACCTTGACAGCTCTGTCACTGCTGTGTGACTTAAAGCATCCTCCTATAAATCTTCTTAGAAGTAGTTTGCCCATAGATAGAAGTATTGCACACTGTACCCTCTTCACTGCACACGGCCCACCTTCAAGCCTCAGTGACCTAATGGGGGTAGACCCCTTGCACACGGCTTTGCCTTCATGGGAACGGGCCCCTTCCTGTGCACTGTCCACCTCCTGGCCTAGGTGACCTAATGGGGGTGGACCCCATGTTTTATTGCTCATGACCCTATCACTATCCTTAAAGATGATTTCACTCACTGCCCTGCCCCCTAACCTATGCACAATAAATACTCACGCTTCTGGACATTCGGGGCCTCACCTGACTCTGCTTATAGATGGTATGGCCCCCTTAGCCCAGTTGCATTTTCCTTGTACTTCTGTGTCCTGTCTCTTTATTTCTCGGATCCTGCGCCTCAGCACAGCATAAGGAACACCCGATGACCCTGTGGGGCCCTCAGCCCTACACTACTGATACAATATAGATGAATTTCAAAAACATGTCCAGTGAGAGAATCCTGGCCCCAGAGAATACATATTGCATGATTACATTTATATGAAGTTCTTGAACAGGCATAAGTAAACTATAGTGTGAAACGTCAGCACAGTGTGTGTATCTCTGTGTGTAGAGATAAAGGTGTGGCCTTCTAAGGCAGTGGGAAGACAAGCATGCTAGGAGCCAAAGAGTTTAGGGTGCTGGGCGTTGCCTGAGCATTCCTAAGAATGCTTGAAACCTTGCAGGAATTGCTGAGTCTCTTGGAGTTTGAGACAGTTTTGTTTACATGATGGAATTGTGATAAGATTAGCTGGCACTCTTGGACTCCGATAAAACCGGCAACTTGGCCTGGAAACGCAGTGTCCTCCCATCTGGCCTTCTAATTAGTTATGGTTCCAACCCCCAGGGCCGCATTCCTACTTGCTTTGCACCAGCAGGCTTGGCATTTGTTCTCAGAGGGTCACAGAAACCTTTGTTTCTACTTAGAACACGTTTCCTGGGGAAGTTTAGGTGTACAACTGACCGGATCCAGAGATAGCAGCACTTTGTTGTAAAATCGTAAGAAGAGCTTGTTCTCTCAGACAAGCCACTGCCCAGTAGGCCAATCTCAAAAGAGCCCTTAAATAGTGTGGTCTTTGGCCAGGCCGTCATCGAGGGTTTATTCCCAGTTTTGGCAAGCGTCAGTATTTCTTTTGCATGTGCGATTGGCTTTCTTAATCAATGTAACAGCAGACCCCTGGCCTCCGGATGAAAAGGGCCACGAGGGTTCACTAAGTGCATGCTCTGGGCCAGCCACTGCCTAGGACCTTTCTTAGGATTTGATCATCAAGTAAGTGCTCTTGGTTTGATTTTATTGAGACCCAGAAAGGTTAACTAATTCATCCAAGGCGAGTGTGAGGCTTTATGAGAACTTAACAGTTGTCCTCTCTGTTCCCCCTCCTTGGACTATTCCTAAAACGTGAAGGTCAGTTCCTTTCCCTGATGGCTGTATGGCAGGTGGTGTAGTCATTTCTTTGTAGGGCTTTTACTTGTATTGGTGCTGGACATGCTGTTCACCATTTCCAGTGCTTCCCTGAGTAGGGTCTGACAAACAGGTGGCCAAGCCCTCCTGGATTTCAGGCTTTATTGGGGGCACCAAGATGCAAAGATAATCCACTAAGACTTAGTTCTTGGCCGCATGTCATGGCTCATGCCTGTCATCCCAGCACTTTAGGAGGCTGAGGCGGGAGGATTGCTTGTGCCCAGGAGTTTGAGGTCATCTTGGGCAACAAGGCAAGACCCCATCTCTCCAAAAAAAAAATTTAAAAATTAGCTGGGTATGTTGATACATGGCTATAGTCTCAGCTTTGTGGGAGGGTGAGATGGGAGGATCACTTAAGCCTGGGAGGTGGAGGCTACAATGAGCCAAGATTGCGCCACTGCATTCCAGCTTGGGTGACAGAGCAAGACCCCGTCTCGGGGGGAAAAAAAAAAAAAAAAGCAACTTTGTTCTTCTACGTAAGGGGCTGGAAGTCTGAGAAGTAGCCTCTTCCACGCATAGAAAACAGCTTTAAAAGGGCATGTGGGCTCTGATTGTGGTTATTTAACATTTACAGAGGTGGATACGACATGAAAATCACTTGAGTTTGTTGGGATTTGCTTTAAAACATGCTTTCATGTTGTACTTTTCTTTTTTTTTTTTTTTTTCCGAGACGGAGTTTTGCTCTCGTTGCCCTGGCTGGAATGCAATGGCGTGATCTCGGCTCGCTGCAACTTCCGCCTCTGGAGTTCAAGCGATTCTTCTGTCTCAGCCTCCTAATTAGCTGGGATTACAGGCATGCACCACCACGCCCAACTAATTTTGTATTTTTAGTAGAGGTGGGCTTTCTTCATGTTGGTCAGGCAGGTCTCGAACTCTTAACCTCAAGTGATCCACCCTCCTCAGCCTCCCAAAGCGCTGGGATTACAGGTGTGAGCCACTGTGCCCAGCTAATGTTGTACTTTTCTTTCACTTTAATTAGAGAAAAAAGGCAGATAATTGGAACAGAGGAGTGACCAGAGTGCTCTGGCGAGGCAGGGCTGTTGGGTAGCCAGGGAGGCCCCAAAGAAGAGAGGGCATTTGTGTAGTAAGAGTGTGTTGCCATTTGCCAGCTATGTGCCAGGGGGAAGGGGCGTCAAGGCAGTGGGCACAGTTGGATGGTCTGCTTTGAGAGTTCATGGCCAATGGGATCCAGGAATAGCAGTAACTTATTATGAAATTATAAAATGAGGTGATTCTGCCAGGCAAGGCACTACCCAGTAGGCACAGTGACCCTTCAGACCATGTGGTCAGCTCTCTCTCTCTCTGAAAATTTCAATCTGTTTCATGAGTGAGTGAGTGTGTGTGTGTGTGTGTGTGTGTGTGTGTGTGTGTGTGTGTGTGTCTGCAAAAGCTTTTATGAGCTACACACCGTTTTTTCTTGTTATATGTTCATGGGATATCTTTGAAGGAATACCCAAGAAAGAACTAGTTGCCTGTAGGGATAGGAGATTTCATTGTATTGCTAGGGTAGTCTGAGTTTTTTACTAAGTGCATGTATTGTTTACTCAAACTTTTGTGTGTGTATGTGTTTCTAGAGAGAACAGTTTTATTAACAACGACATGAGACAGTGATGGGTGATGAGGGGCTAAACTAAAACAATGACAAGTGTGGCAGGAGAGAGGGGGCTGGGTTTCCAGCTTGGGAAGCCAGCTGTGCCCTGCAGGACAGGAAGTGTGAGTGTCTGTGGGGCATCTTGGTGGGGTTATTCAAGAGGCAGTTGGAAGTCTGAGTTGGGAGCCTTGGAAAGAGGTCAGGGTTGATGGCACTGACTTGGAAGTTTAGCCTGAAGCTGATGAGAATGCTTAGGGAATGTGTAGCGAATGAGAAGAGGATCCCAGAGTGATCTTCCACTGGGGTAGAGGAGGAGGCAGCAAGAAACCAGAATGGTGGTTAGAGACTGGGGAGCATGGAGCCTGGTGTGTTCGTCAGCATTCTCCAGAGGCACAGAACCGATTGCATATATATACACACACATAGGAGTTTATTAGGGAGAATTGCCTCACACAATTACAAGGTGAAGTCCCCTGATAGGCCATTGGCAAGCTGGGGAAAGAGAGATGCTGGTAGCATGGTTCTGTCCAAGTCCGCCAGCCTTAAAGCCAGGGAAACCAACAGTGCAGTCCGAGGCCAGAGGCCTGAGAGCCCCTAGGAGCTGCAAGCCTCAGAGTCTAAAGGCCAAAGAACCTGGAGTCTGATGTCCATGGGCAGGAGGAGAGGAGGCCAAGTGTCTGTTATGGCACAGAGCAGAGCGAGCATGCAGACCCAGCAAGCTGTCCGTCCCCCTTCTTCCGCCTGCTTGTGCTAGGCACGCTGGCAGCCAACTGGATGGTCCCCACCCATAGGGAGGGTGGGTCTTCCTCTCCTAGTCCACCGACAAATGTCAGCCTTCTCCAGCAACACCACAGACACACCCAGGAACAGCGCCTCACCAGCTGTCTAAGCATCCGTCAATCCAGACGAGTTGTTACCTAGGATTAACCATCACACCTGAAATCTAGGGAGTAGAGCTTTGAGGCACAGCATGTGAGCAGGTATGCAGTGCAGCAGAAGGTCCAGGAGCTGGCAGGAGCTCCCTGGGAGCTTGAGGGTAGCTGAGGCGTGAATGGGAGAAGTGACGGTGGTAGGTATGGTAGTTTTATGGTGAAGAAAAGGATAGTGATTCAGTCGATATTTAATGAGAACCCACAGTGTGCCAGGCTGTGTGCTAGGTATTGAGAATAAAGTGATCCCTGCCCTCAAAGACTGGACAGACTAGGGGAGGTGACAAATATATACAAAGAGGATTTTCATGTGATTTGGTAGGAGCAGGGGTGGAAAGAGAGTCTCAGTGGAACAGAAAGTTTCAGGCTGTGATCAGTGGAGGAGGTGACTTGGTACTAAGCTAGGTCTTAAAGATTAAGTAAACTCAGAGGATTAGGAGTGATCCGGATGTCCCACATAGAGGGAACAGTGTGAACATAGGGCAAGCATGGAGGTGAGAAGTTATGTTGGGCTGGGCGTGGCAGCTCACACCTCTAATTCCAACACTTTTCAAGGCTGAGGCGGGCAAATCACTTTGGGCTCAGGATTTTAAGACCAGCCTGGGCAACATGGTGAAACCTTGTCTCTACAAAAAATACAAAAATTACCTGGGCGTGATGGTACACACCTGTAGTCTCAGCTACTCAGGAGGCTGAGGCTGGAGAGACAATTGCTTGAACCCAGGAAGCAGAGGTTGCAGTGAACTAAGATTGCACCACTGCATACTAGCCTCAGCAACAGAGTGAGACCCCATCTCAATAAAAAGAAAGAGAGAGAGTGATGGGGGCAGGGTGAGGAGGAAGGGAAATTACGTGGTATGTAGTCAGAGCAGAGCAGTTCAGTGTCAGTATTGATGGAACATAAAATGTGGGGTAAGGAGTAATAAGAGGTGTTGGGGATAGCGACAGATGGAAGCCACCTCTTCATGGAGACCTTGTGTCCTATGTTAAAGGCATGATGTATCCTAGAGTCAGAGGGTTGAAAGCCTGTGGTAGGGCAACGATAGGGTAACACATGTCTTTTAGTTAGATGGTTCTAGGGAGGGGTAGAGGCCAGATGTGTTGGAGATGAGAATATAGGCATAAAGGCATTTATCTGGGGAGCTGCTGTGTATATTACAGTGAAACTAACCTGACATGTCCTGAACCAGTGAGTGAAGGATAAAGAGGAATGGATAGAGTCCAGAAATATTGAGGCAGTAAATTAATAATGAGAGTGTTGATTGATTGGACATGGAAATTGAGGGAAAAAGGGGAGCTGAAGATAACTCAGTTCCCATAGGTAGCTGAGTGGGTTATGAAAACAACAGAGAAGGGGCATGCTACCACCGAGGATTTTTGAGAGGAGAGGTGGGTAGGGAAGTGACGACTTTGCCTTTAGACAGATTGATTTGATTTTTTTTTTTTTTTTTTTTGAGACAGAGCTTTGTTGTTGTTGCCCAGGCTGGAGAGCAATGGCATAATCTTGGCTCACTGCAACCTCCGCCTGCCGGGTTCAAGTGATTCTCCTGCCTCAACCTCCCGAGTTGCTGGAATTACAGGAGCCTGCAACGGCGCCTGGCTGATTTTGTATTTTTAGTAGAGATGGAGTTTCTTCCATGTTGGTCAGGCTGGTCTTGAACTCCCGACCTCAGGTGATCAAAGTGCTGGGAATACAGGTATGAGCCACCATAACCGGGCCAATTTTTAAACCATTATATTGGTATAATACTCATACCCTACAGTTTACCCATTTAAAGCATACAGTTCATTGGCTTTTTTTTTCCCCCCCAAGATGGAGTTTTTGCTCTTGTTGCCCAGGCTGGAGTACAGTGGCATGATTTTAGCTCACTGCAACCTCCGCCTCCTGGGTTCAAGCAATTCTCCTGCCTCAGCCTCCCAAGTAGCTGGGATTGCAGGTGTGCACCACCACACCTGCATAATTTTTTTGTATTTTTACTAGAGATGGAGTTTCACCATGTTGGCCAGGTTGGTCTGGAACTCCTGACCTTGTGATCCATCCACCTCAGCTTCCCAAAATGTTGGGATTACAGGTGTGACCCATTGCGCCTGGCCACTTCATTGGCTTTTTTTTTTTTTTTTTTTTTTTTGGCTGGGGTTTTGTTTTTTTTCCCCAGGCTGGAGTGCAATGGCATAATCTTGGCTCACTGCAACCTCCG